GAGCTCAGTTATAAAAGTAGCAAGTTGTTTCACAGTTGTGTCTGCCTAATCGGTTCCTGCACAAACAGCAAATGGTCCCGGGGTTTGTGCAACTAAATATAGGCGATCCCCCTGGGAAAAGGGAAAGGGCTGAACATCTTGGATTCACTTTTAGGCTCAAGAAGCTGCTGATCCAATGCTTCTAAATGGCATCGGATAACAGGGCGCCATTCCACAGCTGATCCTTTGTTACTTATAAAATTACTCCTCCATAGCTCAGTGCATAGCTGCAATACCGAGGCCTGACCTAGGCCTGCAGAGAGGGAGACAGAAAGAGAGACATAGAAAGAGAGGGATAGAAAGAGAGGGATAGAACGGGAGAGATATAAAGAGAGAGAGAGAGAGAGAGAGAGAGAGAAGAAAGAGAGGGATAGAAAAAGAGGGATAGAAAGAGAGGGAGAGAAAGGGAGAGGAGAAAGAGAGGGATAGAAAGAGAGGGATAGAAAGGGAGAGGAGAAAGAGAGAGGAGAAAGAAAGAAAGAAAGAAAGAAAGGGAGAGAGAGAAAAAGAGAGGACAAATAATGAGATAGAAAGAAAGAGGAGAAAGAAAGAAATAGAAAAAGAAAGAAAAAAAGAAAGAAAAGAAGAAAGGAAAAAATAGAGAAAGAAGAAAGAAAGAAAGAACAGAATAGGCCAGGCCTCATAAATGGACTCAGCTACAGACTAATACTGTTTATTACATAATAATTTAAAACAAAATAAAAGCAATTAGTCACACTGGGAGGGTTTTTTTTCCTTTTATCTTCTCTCTCTCTCTCTCCCTCTCTTTTATTCTATTTTTCTCTCTTTCTCACTCTCTTTCTCTCTTTTCTGTCTATCTTTCTTTCACTATCTATCTATCTATCTATCTATCTATCTATCTATCTATCTATTTATATATATTATTTCTTTCTTTCTTTCTTTCTTTCTTTCTTTCTTTCTTTCTTTCTTTCTTTCTTTCTTTCTTTCTTTCTTTCTCTCTCTCTCTGCATTTCTCCACCCATTTATAAATAACATTCCATCCTTCTCAGAGCAAGTATTGAAAGAATCAGAATGATAATATTCTTAATATTGTTCCTATATAATAATGATGACAAGTGTTGCCATCCCGTTTTTCAGAATAGATAACTTGCATTGATAGAAGGATTTCTTATTAATACCTTTTCATATTATTATTTTTTACCTGTAATAATACACTATCATCATTAATATTATTATTACAGAATAATACGTATTGTTTCTATAATTTCCTTGCATTTTTTTGATAATGTTTGTCATATAATTGATTTACAATCCATTGTCATTCAGACGTTTGGGTTTTCTATTATATTTTGCAAGATGTTTTGGTTGGTTATAATAACCTGAATCCAGCGAATTAACTTTTCATTTGCAAAAAGAAGCAGGTCAATGAATTAATTTAGGACTTAAAGAATGATGAGTATAATTAGCAGAAGACAGCTAAAGCCCACCATGGGGCAGGAGCAATGACGGTGACAAGAGTTTGGACAGCTGTGTCTTTTTTTTTGCTTTTCAGGGGTCAACAAAGAGAATCTCAGGTACCTTTTAGGAAGCTCTGCCACCCGATGAAAACACTCCTGCAGTACCGTCTATAGACCCTAGGTGGCAGTGTGGCTGCGCTGTGACACCATGGTCAATGCATTTACCCCATTACTATTTTGTCTTCTATATTAAATAACAATTTACTTGTCAACATAATAACTCTCCACACCTACCCGGCATTGCATTATGTTTTTAGATCTTTCCAATAGATTGCATTGATTTTGCATGTAGCTTTCTTCAGAGAGAGAGAGAGAGAGAGAGGGGAAAAAAGACAGAGAATGCTCTTGAAATGTCATTTTAGTAATTAGGTGGTGCCCTTAATCCCATGCCTGGTGTAGTGTGTACAAGGGGGGACGTTATTTTGGAGCTGATGATAGCTCCTTTGAGGTCGGACATATGTTGTGGTCAGATTTGAGAAGTCTGGAATGGTTTGATGGTGTAGGACAGGAAGCAACTCATCTTAATATAGTCAGAAGATGATTGTTAAATGGTCAGCAGAGGTGTGAAGTCAAAATGATACTAACAGATCTGTAGGGGTAGTCCACCCAGACAAGAATAGTCCACCCAGACAAGGACAGCCCCCCCAGACAAGGACAGCCCCCCCAGACAAGGATAGTCCCCCCCAGACAAGGACAGTCCCACTAGACAAGTATAGTCCACCCACACAAGGATAGTCCACCCAGACAAGGACAGTCCACCCAGACAAGGACAGTCCCCCCAGACAAGGACAGTCAACCCAGACAAGGACAGTCCCCCCAGACAAGGACAGTCCCCCCAGACAAGGACAGTCTACCCAGACAAGGACAGTCCACCCAGACAAGGATAGTCCACACAGACAAGGATAGTCCACCCAGACAAGCATAGTCCCCCCAGACAAGGACAGACCACCCAGACAAGGGTAGTCTACCCAGACAAGGATAGTCCCCCTAGACAAGGATAGTCCACCCAAACAAGGATAGTCCACCCAAACAAGGATAGTCCACCCAGATCTGGTATTTTACTGTTTGGTAGATTGTAATGTGTTTTTATGCCTTCCAGGGGGTATTCGGGCTCCCAGGCCTGCACACATGCTGTGACGTTACATTACAAGGGGTTCCCATTTTCCCTGATGATGTTTTTTTATTGTTATATTGTTTCTATGTTGTGGAAAATGAATGGGGGTGATGTGCTAAAAGGAAATGCTTAAGAGAATGGAGAGATCGCTTGTGTTGCAGGTTCCAAGGAGCATGCTGATTATTGCATAGCCAGCAAAGCATAGCCACCCACTCTCCTCTACTCCATAACATAGGAGGCGGTGTTTTGTAGTTTTGTAGAGGTGCATGCTGAACGAGAGAAATCACTCAATTTCCCCCTCCATGATGGATGAAGGAATCAGACAGCAGGCACCCGCAGCGGCTTGAATGCCAGAACAGTGACTGTATCTGATTGAATATGATTTTGTAATAAAGGTTTGTCAGTCCAGGAGGTGCCAAAAGGGCTTCAATGTCGGCCGATCCAGCAAGAATCATCTGAAATTAGAGCCGTGTATGGCCAGCTTTACCCCTCCCCTCCCATGTAATATTTATGAGGGGGATAGGGAGGTAAGTTTTCCATAATTATCCTTGTCTGTACTGTGCTGGCAGATTCTAATTATTTTACAGGATTATTATTCATTATTTATTGATTATCTTATTATTATATAATTATTTGTATTCATTAATATGATGATTGAACAGCTCGCTGTATACTGAGCCTAGGGTGACGGGAGGACGCTAGTTTGTGTCCTCCCGTTACCCTAAGGAGAGCAATGGCGAAAAGAATTAACCCCATAGTTCTCCTTTAATGCCTTGGTTCTCAACTGGTGGGTCGTGACCCAAAAGTGGGTCGCGACCCCGTGTTCAGTGGGCCGCCACGTGCCTTCTACTTTTCTAGCTGAAAGGCTCCTCAGCCTCCCCCAAGTGCACCACTGTCAGTTCTCGCGCCAAGCAGCCATTTAAAATATGCTGCCCGGAACTGAGTGTGAGGTGGGGTGGGCTAGGGCAATGGCCACAAGGGAGTTCCTTCCATACATGCATTGCTTACAGCTTTCTGCCCTGTAGAGGTGCCTGGACCGGAGTGATGTCACATTCTGGCTCCCGTCACCTCTACAGGGTGTGCAAGGGAGCTGTACAAGTGGATACACATATGGATGGAGCTCTGTCACAGCACAGCACAGCACAGCAGCCCACACTGGACCCCAGGTTGTGGATCTACTCCATTTCTCATGAGGTATGGAGGTCAAGTGGATAAAAAAAAAAAAAATTAACATTTTTGGAGTCTGTATGTGTGTGAGAATGTCTGTGAGTGTGTGTGATTGTGTCTG